CGAGGTGACTTGGAGACACACCTACCAAGTCCTGTCCAAAGATGACAGAACTATGCAGGCCCAATTTACAGATGTGAAAACTGAGGTCCAGAAAGGGGAAGTGAGTGGCAAGCTACTAAGAGCTGAAAAACGACTCCAGGCCTCTGGACTTCAACTTCATGTACCCACCCCCAACTACACAGAGCCAGGGATGTGGGGGGCTGTCACAGATATTTAATAAATAAGTGAAATAAGGGCACCAGGTTGGCACAGTCCATGTCCTGGGGCCTCTGAATCCCAAGCAGAACTCCGTCACTGGTGGCAGTGGGAGGAAGCTGGGCTAACAGAACTTATTTTGGGTTTCATCCCTTACCGGTATGTATGCATCTCAGAATAACCAACACCTCACAGGAGAACACGCTCAGGCAGATAACAGCTTCCCAGGCTGTCCGACACATCGCGTTCCGCCTGGAAGTAGATCCGCTAGGTTTGATGATCCCAGTTCTCTCGAATCAATCAGGACTTCTCAGTGGAGTCCTTGTGTTTCAGAGTAATAAAAATGGGCATAGGAAGTCTCCCCAACGAAACACTATTTGTTTCCGAGACAATCTGTCAAAAGATGGGCCTGGTGAGCGGGGAAATCATTTTAAAGGGATCACAGAAGTAAAACGCTAGCAACCAGGCCTCCTGCACAGATGCCGTGAGGCCAGGCCCAGCCCTGGAGACGGTCAAAACCCAGCTACAGAGGCCTGTGGCCGTCACTGCCTGCCAGTGCGCTGCCCTGGTCAGTGCCTCATATAAAGTAATAGCTTCAGACTTAATTGTGGGCCCTATAGGTAATTTTCTGTTGTTTTCTGAAAAATCAAGATTTGATCAAACCTTCTCACTCCCATTCCCACCAGGAGGACCACCATGCCCGGGGCAAATACCGATCACCCACACCCAGGGCCAAACCTGGGGCACAAATGAGGCAGGCAGAAAGCGCTGACCTTTGACCTCTGTGTGGGCAGGAACATGGTGTCCCATACAGGTGAAAGAAACTACTTTGTTGTTAATAATAACTGACATTTCATGACGATTTATACTATTTTTATATACTACTTATGTATTTTTATGTTAAATATATTATAAATATATACTACCTAAACTTTTATATTTTCACATATAAATGTCCCTAGAGCACTTTACATGTTTCACATTTACTTTCACATGTCCAGTGTTGGGCACATAATAAGCATTCAATAAATACTAGTTAGCTGAGTCTCTCTAAAGAGGTCATAACAAAATACTAAAATCAGTTAAGGCAGTGGTCGGCAAACTGCGGCTCTCGAGCCACATGCGGCTCTTTGGCTCGTTGAGTGTGGCTCTTCCACAAATACCACGTGCAACTGAAACTTCGTGGCCCATGTGCAGAAGACGTTTTTGGCTCTCAAAAGAAATGTCAATCATACTGTTGATATTTGGCTCTGTTGAGTTTGCCGACCACTGAGTGAAGGCATACCTATAACAACAGCTAGTGAACTGAGTCTGAAACAACGATGAAGAAGATTCCAACTAAAGCACAGTGAGTTTAGGAAGATCTATCTCTGATGTAAAGAGGGAAAATACATTGGTCCAACCATTGTTATTTCCTTATCATTTGGTCTCCATGACTACCATCTAACTTTTCTTCTGACCAAAAAAAATAAATAAATAAAAAATAAATAAGTCACTGACAATGCCTTATTTCATTGTTTCATTGTCAAACACTTTGATACTGCACATAAAAGTTATTCCGAATGTAATCCCTTACCATTATTTATGTAGTCTCAGAATAAGCAAAATCCCTTCCTGCTGAAAACTCTATAAGAGCAAATCAGTGTTTAATCCGTAGTCAGGGCTTCCTGTTTTGTTTTGTTTTTAATTAGTAATAATCTGATAGAATTCTATAAATTAATGCCTTACACACTGGTAGGTTACTGTAACTGATGCAACCTCCTTTCATACACAGTACCTCATTTGTTCCCCAGAGCAACACTACACCAGATACACAGTTAAGTATTATTATCGCCTTCCCTAGCTCTGACCCCAGATGATAATTACTATGTTGGTGTTCAGTTGTGTACTGACAGCTCACTCACTAGAACGCAATCTCTTCCTGCTCCCAGCTCAACCCACAGAGTCCAGCACTGTGTGGGGCACACTGAATGTTCTAGGGAATTTATTAAATGAATACAGGCCTTTGTCTGCTGTAAGCCCTTTCTGGTAGAAAGCGTAGAATAATGGAACCATGCCCCAGATCTCCCATTTACAGTTCAGTGGTCTGGTCTCTATCAAAAGGAAGTTGCAAGGAAATTCTCTAAAAAAACAACAGAGCGTACACGCAATAACACTAAGAATAAAAATGCCATGGCCTTGCAAACGTGAGACTCTCCTTGCACATCAAATGGTAAGCATCCAAAGTTTCAAATTTTCCACTAAGTTTCAACACCTTTAACTAGCGTAGGTATATTGGGCATTTGCCTAATGCAGTATTTCAGAGAGCAGAGGAAGAGGAAGTGAGGCCAGAGTCCAGCGCTGCCGGGACTTTTAGACACCATTTGTTGAGCATTAACTTGCTTCCGATTTCACGACAAACCCTTACTCCTGATTACGATGACATTTTTACAGGTAATTCCGTCTGAGAAATGAGGAATGGCCTCTGACTTTCCGAGGTCAACAGGAAAAAAAAGACAACTCCTCGAGAATGAAATATATAAATGTTTAATATTAGGAAGCAGTAACCAATCAAACCAGACAAGAGGAACTCTTTGATCCGTGAGGCCAAAAATCTAACTTCTTACGCAACAGGCTGTTATAAATTATAATCGCTCACTAATTGCAGCGAAATTCCGGACTTTGCCACATCAATCAATAGAGGTTTCAAGGTTACCCCTTAGAAATGCCAGTTTACGTTCTACAGAGTCCATCTCCTGAAGTTTCCTAAAAAAATAGATTTTTCAGGTTTCCTTTCCTCCCCTTCACCCCCCCACACACACCTCCACCGCCACCCTCTCAAAAAAAAAAAAAAAGTGGGGGGAGGGAGGGAGGAAGGCTAGATTGGGGGCTGAAAAACCTCGAGAACCCTGACACTGTTGCCGGATGAAGTTACGCAGGGCTCGCCCTCCAGCCTCGGGAAGGGAGAGTGCGCGTCTGTCTAACGTCAAGGCCATCCAGACCCCCGTCTGCACCTGCCCTTGAACACCACCGCGGGCTGCAGGCTGCTAAGTTCCGGCTGTTATGTGCCATCGGCCTGGAAACGAATCCAGGAGTGCAGCAGGCTCTGACAGCAACCTTTGGTGATTCCTGAAAATCCACAACAGGAAATGTAACTGTCCTCCGCCCGCCCCGGCCATTCATCAAAAGCAGACCGGCTCCCAGCGGCCGGCCGGGAGGAGGCCGCGGAGGAGGCCGCGGGTCCGGAGAGGGGACTCTGCGCCTGCTCTCTCCCCTCCCTCCTTGGGGAGCACTGCCCACGCCGGAGGGAGGGTGGGCACGGGAGAGGCAGGCAGCGGGCAACATGTCCCCAAGTTCAAACTCTGCCTGTAAAGCCAAGCCCCTCCTGTGCGCCCCCTCTATCCCTGTCTGTCCCGGGAGGCACACGGGTGCCCATGAGCAGGGGTCCTCCCTGCACCGCCGACCCGGGCGCCTAACGGTACCGGGATGCTGCCTGGGCGCCGGGCTCGGGCGGCCAGCCTCCCTGCCCTCTGCCCCCCAAAGGGGCGGGGGTGAGGGCGGCCCCTGCACGGAGACCGGGGGACGAGCTACCGGGAACCCCCCCCCCCCGAACTTGGGAAAGGCGCGCCCCGCGCACCCCAGGCCGGGCGCCACGCCTGGCCGCGGCGGGCAGCGCCGGGGAGGACGCGGAGCCGGCGGGCGGGCGGGCGGAGAGGAAGTGGCGGCCGCGTTTGCACCAACCATGTTCGGCGGCGGGTGCCACCGGCCCCGGAGCGGGGTCGGAGGGCGCGGGGCGGGCGCTCGCGTCCCCACCCCGCGGCGCCCGGGTCCCCGGAGGACGCGGCCCCCGGGCAGCCAGGGCGCGCCGCCCGCCGCCCGCCGGTGCTCCGGGCTCCCCGCCCCCACCGCCGCTCCTGCCCAGGCCGGGCGGGCCCAGCGCGGAGGCCGCCGGGCGCCGCGGGGACGGAGGCCGCCGGGCGCTAGGCCGCGGCCGGGCCGGGGACCCCGCGCTGCGCCCCCCGGGGCCGCGGAGCCCCCCGCGCGCCCGGACAAGTGCGGCGGCCGCACCGGGGCCGGGCCGGCGGGAGGAGGGCGCGCGGCTCCTCCCCAGCGGCGACCGGGCCCCGCGGAAGCCGGGCTCACCCGCCGGCCAGGCCCCGCGTCCCGGCCCCGATCGCGGCGGGCGGCGCCCGGCAAGTTTCCCGGGGCCCCGGCGGCGGGCGGAGCGCGGTCCGGCTCCGGGGCGCCGGGGGCCGCCGCCTGCAGAGGCACCGCCGCCGGCACCGGACCCTGTCCCCGCCCGCGGGTCCGGAGGCTCCGGCACCGGTGCACCCGCACACACTCGCACACGATTAATGTTGTTGTAAAAAGGAGGCCCGACTCCAATGGACCTGCGCCCCCCCACACACACCCCACACCTGGGGCGCAGGATCCCCCCGAGCAGGTCTGGGTCCATGGAGCCACCTCTCCGCATCTGCAAATCCAAAAGTGAAATTAAACCTCCACCGACCTCCTCCTCCTCCTCCTCCTCCTCCCTCGCTACCTCCTCCTCCTCCTCCTCCTCCTCCTGCTTCCAGCCTCAGCAGCAGCAGCAACAGCAACAGAACCTGCTTCCCCTAAAAGCAAACGATCCATAACCGCGCCGGCGGGTCCCCCAAAAACCGGTGTTGCTGTGTATGTTCTCCGCCTGCAGAACGCGGTGTCAGACACCAGGACACACACACACACACACACACACACACACACACGTCCCCCCGGCCCCGTGCACATGCCCTCCGGGAAAACACACCCGCACGGCCGCCGGCAGAATCTGGAAAAAACGTTACCTCTCGGGGTGCCTTTCCGCGCCGCCCGTGCGATTCCGCGGGGCTGGATCGGGGTTGTTGCTAAGGGCGTGCGAAATGGAAACGAAAGCCCCGTCCGTTGAATAATCGCAGGAGCAAAACTAAAAGTTACTCCCCGGCTCGCCTGAGAACAGCCCAGATCGAAAGCAAAACAAGGAGAGGAAACTGCGAGGAGCCGCGGCTGGAAATCCCCCCGCCCCCCGCCCTGCGCCGGCCGCGCCGCCCTCCGCCCTCCCCGCCCTCCGCCCTCCTCTCCCCCCGCCCTCCGCCCTCCTCCCTCCTCCCTCCTCCCGGCCCTCCTCCCTCCTCCCTCCCCCGCCCTCCTCCCCGTGTTTGTCTCCGGCTTGTGCAACCGGGAGGCGGGCGGGGGCGGGGCGGGCGCCCGGCCGGGAGGTGCTCATTGGCAGGCGGCGCTGCTTTCATCATTTCTCGAAAAGTCTATTTCATTTTCACTTCCCCGTGTCGCGCGAGCAGCAACAAGCGGCTGCCCTTGGGAGCCCGGTGTTCACGTCCCGGGGGCGCTCACGCTCGCCCCGGGAGCACCCGAGGGGAGGGCGAGGTGTGCGGCCGGCCCGGGGCGCCTGGGGTCAGGCTGGAGCAGGGGCTGTATGCCTGTGAGAGCTGTTTCTGAGATGCCCACCAAACGGAATCCTAAACCCTCACCTGCCTCCGTACTGCATCTGCCTATTTGGGCACCTTTCTTTTTCTGGTCCATAATAGACATTTTTAAAAATATATATTTTATTGGTATTTTACAGAGAGGAAGAGAAAGAGATAGAGAGTTAGAAACATCAATGAGAGAGAATCGTCCACCGGCTGCCAACTCAGGTAGGTGCCCTTGACGGGAATCGAACCTGGGACCTTTCAGTCCGCAGGCCGACGCTCTAACCACTGAGCCAAACCGGTCTCAGCCATAATAGACATTCTTGATGTCTCCTTTCCCCAACATACACTAAGTCCTCACGAACATCATCATCAGGCTCTGAGGGTTTAAGTGAAAGTTCTCACAAGGCCCTGGCGGGGTGCTTGGAGCAGTCTCCATCCTAAGGGCCGCCTGGAGGTTGGAGGTTGGGAAGGAGGGAGGAGGGGTAGAGGAGGAGGAGGGCAGCCTGGGAGGGAGGCATCCATCCCGGTAGGGGAGCAGGTGTCAGGAGGGTGTGGAGACCTGCTCTGCTTGGAATGAATAGTAAGTCACTTTGTAACCACGTCCAAGCAAAGGAGCAGCTCACTGACCAGGCGGCATTGCTCAGGTCAGTGTTTCCTAAAGTGTGGTACTTGCTGCACCGGAGTTCGGTGGGGATATACACCGCACCGCGCTTAGCTGCGCTTAATCCTACTTTCTCAGGAGTACGAGAGGTACTCAGCGTTACAAAAATTAGAGAAAGGGTACACATATGTCAAACGTTTGGGAAACACAGGTAGGTGTTAGTGCAAGGGCTGGGCGGAGGGCCTGGTGTCCTGGGCTGCACTGGAGGCCTTATCAGTGGTGGAGGGTGTCGCCAGGGGAGGGCGGCTGCCATCTGGGGCACCACCTGGCGCTGCTTTCCTCCCAGGGCGATAAGGAAGGCCTTCCCTTGGCAGGTCAGGAAAGAACTTAGCCAGTGCAGGAGGGCGTGCGCATCATTTTGCTCAAAAAAATGTCTTGGTCGAGGCTGGCCCGGAAAAGAGGCTATCTACTCTGGTACTTGAGTGAGGCCTCCTTAGTTGACTGGCTGGGCCTCCTTGGTCATGGTTAACCTGCGGGCTCAGTTTCCAGTGCTGCACAATAAGGAGAATGGAGGGACGCAAGAATAAAGGTAGCTCCAGTCACGGTGAGGTATGTTAGCTCAGACTAACACACTTCACCGAGACCTGCGGGCTTTGGTCCCTTGTTTTAAAAACATGGGTTCCCATCTAGTCGTGCCTGCTTCTTCCCCACTTGAAGTTTCATCAAGCTCCTCCCAAACTTCTCTACGCGGAGAAGGGATCTTTCGGGAGGCCACAGCTAGTTAGATGTAAAAACCTTTCTAGAATCGTCACCCCAACGAGGTACTGAATTCTATTACGGACCAGAAAAAGAAAGGTGCCCAAATAGGCAGATGCGGTGAGGAGGCAGGTGAGGGTTAAGGATTCCATTTTGTGGGCATCTCAGAAATAGCTCTCACGTGCATATGTTTTATCCCCTTTCATGTAATCCTACCTGCCACAGCCATTCACTTATCTCATGACACAGGGACCACTCCGGGCAATTAGAGACCCTCCATACAACTCTGCAGGATAGTTGTTATTCTACCCAGCCACGGTCCATGTTAAAAACCCAGTAGTCATTCTTGATGTCTTCTCTCCCCAACATACAATAAGTCCTCAGGAACATCACTGTCATCGGGTTCTGAGGGTTTAAATGAAAGTTCTTACAAGGTCCCGGCAGGTGCTTGGAGCATCCTCCCGATATGGCACATACAAGAAGCAGCCAATGAAAAGCATACATAAGTAGAACAACAAACCAATTTCTCTCTTCCTCTCTCAAATCAATAAATAAAAATTTAAAAAATAAAAAAAAAATGTGTACAACCAATTCTACCCTAGGCTAATTGGTATAAACAAGGGTTAAGTTTCTGCCGCATCTCATCAACGTTACAAGGAAGCAACATGGAACCAAATGGTGATATTCAGGGACCTGCTGTGCTTGCAGTCCTTAGTTTCCTACTGACCTGTTGATTCTACTCCCAGACATCCCTGGACCCGGACCTTTTTCCATCCCCACCGCCTGGCTTCCTTCAGTTATTGCAATGGCCCTGCTCGCTGTCTCCTAACTCGGACCCCTCCAGGCCCGCAGCCACACTGCTGTTCAAGTTAAGTAGAAAATAACTTCGGAGCAATTAGGAGCCCAGTCGTGGGTGTGCAGGAGGCAGCTGATCAATGATTCTCTCATCACTATCTGTCTCTCTTTCCCTCTCCCTTCCTTTCTGAAATCAATAAAAAAATATTTTTTTAAAAAAAAGAGTAAGAGAAATTAGTTGCACCTTTTTCAGTACATTGTAACATACCAGTCATATGGTGACACTATATCTCATTAGCAATGGTATTAAATTGGATAACTTTGTTAAGGTGGTGTCTACCAAATTTCTGCCCTCCCCCCAAATTATTGTTTTTTCACTTTTAATTATTAATGTGTGTCTTGTCAGGAGTTACTTTGCAACTTTGCAAATATCCTGTTTGTCACAATACTTTCCCCAACTGATTTTAGCATACATCGATACTCTTCTAGAACAATTATACAGTGTGTCTACAATATGATGATATTATATTTCTAGGATTCTTTCTCTATTTACATATTCAAATTGTGCTATATGGAAAAGTGGTCCCAGCACATGGGCACCCAAATACTTGTGAATTAATCATGATGGCCCTTGGCAGAGAGGAGAAAATCCACTACCTGAAGTCTGCCCAGCCAGGAGCAGGCCTGTTGGCGTTTTTAATTAATAGACGTGTCGTGGCTTTTCTGCAGGGCCATTTCCACTCCTCACTGCTCAGTCTTTTATGTGACATTGAATAATGCCCATTGTGCTGCCCATTCTCCGTGAGGCCTTTCTATTCTATTCTGTCCTGTTCCCTCTGTCCTGTTCTATGTCTTGGCTGACTCCTCTTCTGCCAGCCCCTAAATTATAGACATTCTGTCCTCAACACTCCTGTTTTCTCATTCTACGGTCCTTCCCATCGAGTGCTCTGAGCCACACCCAAAATCTGTAACTTCTCAGCTCTGGGGGCATTACCTCCCAGGTGTCCCTCAGATGCAACAAACTAAGCGAGTCTAAAGCTCAACTCGCAACATCCTTCCTTCCAACCTTGTATCGGTCACTTCCTCAAGCAGCCAAGACCCTGGGAGGCATCCCAGTTCTCAGCCTCTCCTGGCCCCCTGAGCTCCCTGAGGCCTGGGCAGTTTCTCATTTCCCAGGCCACTGAGCTCAGAGAGTGTAGGATGGATTTCACTCCAGTCTTGTGCCCTCAGGACATAGCACAGCTGACCAAAAGTATAAATACAACCCCAAAATCCACATGACTTTGATGTACACAATCAAGAAATATTTCTTAGCCCTTTGATGAGATACATATGGTTATAAATCTCTGAGGGTGAAGGGGGGTAGGATCAATATAGCAACATGTAACCATTTTGAAAGTCTCTGGAAAAAGTAGCCTGTGCCATACCAGGGAAATCTCACCAAACACCTGGGACTAACACCAAAACTACTGTTTGAGCAGCTTCATGAAACCAGAGGGGCTCTGGAGCGAGGCATGCTTATGTTCCAGCTGTGGAGTGGAACATCCTAAAAGACCATGTACCTGGGTACAATTGGACACATTTGTTTGCAAGGGCGTGGAGTCAGGGCAGTGATTGCTTGGACCTATAGCAATTGCTCTCTCCATGAATGCATCTCAGCTAAGGAAGAAATTTAAAGGTACATTCAAGCCCGGCCGGTGTGGCTCAGAGACTGAGCGTCCACCTATGAACCGGGAGGTCCTGGTTCGATTCCCAGTGCTCGGGCCACGTGCCTGGGTTTCGGGTTTGATCCTCAGTAGGGGACATGCAGGATGCAGCTGATCAGTGAGTCTCTCTCATCATTGATGTTTCTATCTCCCTCTCCCTTCCTCTCTGAAATCTATAAAAATATATTTAAATAAAAATTCATTCAGGGTTAACCCCCTTCAAATGGGTTAATTTATTGTATTTTTCTAATAAATTAGAGTAGTTTCATAAAATCATCACTCAAGTAACAGACATTTATTTAGTACTTGGGAACTTTCCTCAGCTCTGGGGTACATCACTGACCCTCCGCCTTCCCAGGAGCTTTTATTTAGTCTCATACATTCGCAACTCCCGGACATGCCCACACTCACTCACGGAGCGGCTGCAAGGCCATGGACACTCCAAGGCTGACAGTCGGGACAAGACAAACCCCTGCTCTCCTGCTCTCCTGGAGTCTACATTCTAGTGGTGGTAATGTCACCAAGCAGACACACAAGCAAGCCAACAGGATAGTTACAGATTTGTATTTGCGTTCTGAAGGAAATAAATGAGAGCTTTGATGGAATATACTAGGCCGGGGGAGAGAACCAAGATAGCAACATAGGTAAACACCTGTACTTGCTGCCTCTCGCAACCACATCAAAACTATAACTAAAAGACAAAACAAAAATCATCCAGAACCATGGGAAAGCTGGCTGAGTGGAAGTTCTAC